TGGCAGAATGTAACTATCAGTTGATGCCAACTGCACACAACTATCAGTAGATGTTGACAGCATGCAGTGATTAGGGGACAGCAGTGAATTATTGTCGTTGCTGTGGCTTTCCACATCTGAAGCACAATCTAACATACCTTCTGGCACATCAACAACACTTACGTCATCCCTATCATCAACAGAATAACAGGTTCTTTTTGTTATCTTATCAACAGTATGAAGAGAACATATGTATCCCCTGTATGCTGACTCATTTTGAAGCACTACAAAACACAGCCTTTCAGCACATAAAATATTCATAACAATAGCCAAAATGCTAAATTTAGTGCTGGGAATCCTTTGCACATCATTCATACATATGCATACGGGAAAATAAGTCTAACACTGGTTAGAGTATTTTTCTGAAACTGGTTGGTGTAGAATTGCTGGTTAAGCATCATTTATAGAGAAGTGGTCAGCTGAAGCCTGGTAAAGACCACAAAACAATACAGTGCCATCGTATAATCACAATGCAGAATACAATTGGCAAGCTGTTGGAAAAGACAGTACAAAGAAAATATCATGCCAACCTGAGATATTATGCCTTCTTCCACCCACACTGGGAGGACATCGTCCAGAGAGTCCTGGGGGAATGCAGCAATCTTGGCATATGATGTTTATGAGGGAGGGATTCCACTTAGGGATTGAAACTTGTGCTGCTGCAATTGATCTTGGAGATGCATACAACAAAGTACCTTGATAGGTCAGCTTCTTGATCTCGGTGCTAGTCTTTTCCTCATTAACTGCATCTTTTTGGCTCTCTTCAAGCGGAAGGTTGTGTTTAATTGTGGTAGCTGAGCATCTGAACCAATAACTGTGCACCCCGTCTGCCACAAGGTTCACCTTTATACCTGATACTTTTCATCATTTTTGCCATGTACAGGAAGAACACTGTCCTATGTTGATAATGTTTTGGTGTCCCATCAAGGCAGAGACCAGGAGTAGGTTGCTGAAGGCCTTCAGACAAAACTTGAACTTATAAGCAGCTGTTGCATTGAAGCAGGAGTGGTTGTCTGTGTGTCAAAGTCAACAGTGACATGGTTTTCACCAAATAAATATATTATAAACATAAGAAAAAATTCAAACCAGAAATTGGAGAAAAGCTGTGTGGTTTTGTTGAAGGTAAAGACACACACAAGGCATATTTATTTTGAGAAAACTTTCAGAAAGAATGATTTACATGAATAGAGATCTGTATTTGTGCTTTATTGATTACACTAACGCATTTGAGAAAGTGAAACAAGAAGAAATTATTAGAGTTTTGGAAACCTTAAACATTGGTGGTAAAGATCTGAGAATAATAAAAAAATTAATGCTGGTGACAAGAAGCAGCCATAAGGATTGACAACCAAGTTGGAAATTTTGAAAACATTAAACAAGGCTGATTTATTCAATTTGTACAGTGAAATAATAATTAGATCCATACATGGTATACCAGGAATACTGGTTGGTGGGCATACTGTTAACAACTTGGGATATGCTGACTATATAGTTTTGTTGCTAAAAATGAAATACAACTGGAACAAATGATGGATATAGTTTTAACGGAAAGTGAAAACAAGGGTCTCATTTTGAACAGTAAAAAACAGAAGTAATGGTAATTACAAAGAAAAATGAGGCTCCAAAATGCAGTATCAATGTAAATGGGCCCTACCTCAAGCAAGTTGATATGTTTAAGTACTTGGGTATCCTGATAACATCAGATGGAAGATGTATTAAGGAAGTTCAATGGCGAAAGCTCAAGCAAAGGCAGCATTTTACAAAATGAAGAATATTTTATGCAATCTTTCTTTGTCAATTGAGATGAGAAAAAGAATTCTTAAAATTTGTATAAATCCTATATTGATTTTTGGATGTGAATCATGGACATTAATGAAAACTTATTTGGAAGCTGCAGAGATTTGGTTTTATATACGAATTATGAGAATACCCTGGACAGATAAACAGATTATTGAAGATGTCTTGAAAAAAACTGACTAAAAAAAGAGAACTGATTGCCCAAATCAGAGATAGACAATCTAAATTGTTTGGTCATTTGATGAGAAGGGGAAAACTGGAGTACATCGTGTTGATAGGAAAGTTGGAGGGAAAGAGAGGCAGAGGGAAACTGAGAGAACAGATGCTGGACAGTTTGACATCATGGAAGATAAGAGAAGGATAAGAGCGCTAATGGACTTGTATGATGTGAAGTGAGAATAATCTTTCAATTGACTAACAAACTAAACACCTGTAAATGCTAGAAGAATTACCTGTTTGATGTTACAGGCTTAAACCTTGACATAACTGTATGCCTAGTGTACTCCAGTTCATAGAAAATATGTATGATAGGTTCCAAGGCAGTGATTTTATTATACCTGAACATCACCACCATTGTTAATTTACAGCTGTCAACAATTTAAACAGTGAAAGTAAAATTAAAAATGAAACAGTAATCAAAATTTCTTTGCAATTTTTATATTCAGTCAGTCAGGAATATCAACAGTTCATCACCAATTAATGTATGGAGTATGTTGATACAGATTCATATTTCATTCAATTTGTTTTTTAAATTTTAGTGCAAAAATAGATCAGCAGATGTTTGTTTCTATGGTAAACATTTATTTTTCAGAATCTTACTACCTATAGTGTAGATAATTGCAAAGAAAATGTTTTGATCTGGTTCAGAATACCTTCTATGCCTGCTGTTCTTTCCAGGACTGGGGATACATGATCCCCATTCCATCGGTTTCAGAGTTATCACCCTACAAAAAACCTTTGGCAAGGTGCTAAAGAAGATTATTGCTGTTAAACTACAAATGTTTTTGGAAAGGAAAGAGCTACTGCCGAATTGTTTGTGTAGTTACTGGCCACAGAAAGATACATAGCAGCTACTTTTGCCTTTGATTGTTATGAAGAGGAGGAATGGGTCAGGGTGTCTGAGCAAGTTTCAGACTTGTGTAGGGTTCTAATCACGTTAGGTTATGAGTGCAGAGACTGGCCAGCTGATTCTTGACAATTCCTGCCCAAGTGATGTGATTATCAATACAGATCATTCTGTGCTGGGGGCAGACGAAGTTCATGGGGGTTCATAGTAAGGGCGAATAGATGTTGCTTAGTGCAGTAAAGCTTTGCACATGATATTACAGTGTCTAGTTTGAGAATGGAGGTGGAGGCAGTCTCTGCTGCCTTCCGTTGACTTGAAAATCAGCTGTACACACATGCCATGTGACCAGTGACCATAAATAAACTCTTGAAAATGTAGAAAATTTTACATATCTTGGCAGTGTGGTGTCCCTACCGGGAGGGACCGAAGAGGATATACAGTCACGTCTGAACAAAGCTAGAGATGCGTTTGGAAGGATGAGGCAAATCTGGAAATCCAACAATTACTGCAGAGGAACGAAACTCCGACTTTACAAGAGCATTATTTTGCCAGTTCTTCTTTATGGAGCGAAATTCTGGAGAATGACCAAAAAGGATGCACACAAGCTGTCCATCTTCCACCACACATGTCAACAAAAAATTATCAAAATTTTCTGGCCAGATACAATCTCAAACACTCAACTACTTCAAGTCACAAACCAAGAAACTCTAGACAGTATGATAACCAAGAGAAGATGGAAATGGCTTGGCCACATTATGAGAATGAATCCTGATATACCTGCCAAAACAGCTCTCACTTGGACACCAGAGGGAAAGAGAAAACAGGGGCGCCCAAAAACAACATGGAGACGAACGATGGAAAGTGACCTGAGTGCGGCATCTTTGACATGGAAAACTGCACTGAAGATTGCACAGGACAGGAAAGCATGGAAAGTCCTCTCTGAAGCCATATGTGCCACTAGGCATAACGAGAACTGAATACACACATGCCTTGATTGTAATTGACTCACAGAGCATGTTGAGAAAAGTGGAGACAGGCATGCTTTGTGCAGAGTGGCAAGCATCACTTCAGACGTCCTGGGTAGTTAGCGTCCTTTGGATATTCTCTCCAGGTAATGCCGGTGTGTTGGGAAATGAAGAGGCAGACTGGCCGGCTCTGCAGATAGATCATTATGGTCTGATGAGAATAGCGCTGCGAGGGGTTTACAGGGGATCTGGTCAGCACTCAATATTCAGGGAAAGGATGAGATAGATATACAATTAGACGGTTACTGGTGCCATCAGAATTGAAACTTTGCTTGCTGCTGAAGATAGGGATGGACCACTTATGGGAATGTCCTGAGGCTGTGATGTTGATTCCTAATTCAGCATTCAACATTCTTTCTTGTCTTAGACCATGATGAGATTATCTGTTCTTTTACCTTTTAAAGTATTATTACACAACCAGTAACAACATTTGCCAAGTGTGTATATTTAAAAAAAAAATGGTGCAGCCTGAATTAATTAGTGGATTGACTGGTGTGCTGTGTTGCTTTATCACATTGTACTTTTTAGAAAACAATGTTTTGTTCAAACAAGTAGGGAAGTCGGTCAAATAAGTAAAGGGACATTTTTGTTTTACCTTTAGGCCTATTGTGCTAGACCTATATTTGATAGGATAATCAGCACTTCCTGGGTGATGGGTTAACATCACGCGGCCACCTTTACTTCCTAGGACTTTACCTGGTACTTGTTTGAGGCTGGGTCAGTCTGGGAGCCAAGGTAATTTCTGAAGAGTTCAGCTCCATGATGATGTAAACCCACGACCTTCAGATCTGCAGACTACACCAGGGTGGCTTCTATAACAATTGAAGCATTATATTTAAAGCAAAACTCTAAGACTCTCCCAAATACAGCATATCAAGGCAACACTTTTGGTGAAGCGAAACACCAGTGCAAGCCAAACTTTACAGGTCACTGAGTAAATCACAAAAGACAGTGAAGTTCATACTAGAGACAACACTGCAGATATAGATAAACTATTTCAAGCAAATGAAAGAAGAAGAAGAAGAAGAATAAAGTGAGCATACCTTCATTGTAAGTGAAATATTTCTGCATAGGTTTTATCTTCATCTGAAAGTGTGAAAAGGATCTGTGGTCTTATTCTGACATGTGGAAATTACATGAATGGAGGTATGAAACATTTTACATTCCTTAATTTAATTTAAATGATTATTCACTTGTACTGTGCAGTTATTATAGATACTTGTGTAAAATAGCTGTTGGTTTGTTTTTTTTGTTAAATTTTTTTTTTAAAACCAAAATGGTCGTAAGCCAGATGACCGCTAACACTCTAAAAATGTATTTATTTTTAGTTAAGTTTTGCTGATACAAATTTTCAATTTTTAGACCAGGAGTCTAAAGGTCCATCACCCAGTTACAAAGTTGAGTTCTTAGTGTGACACTGTGAGCTGTAGATTTTATGTAAAATATTTGTTCTTTTGTGCGTACAGTGTTCTTTTAACTGCAGTAAGATGGCCGTTAGCTGATTTCTTTCAGTCCTGGCTTTCATGATTGACAGTGTGCACCAGCAGTGAGCTGCAGTTCTGACACGCATTTTACTGTTTTCAAATGAGACAGTAAAGGACATTCTGTGTGTTTTGCAGTTATGGGGGCGACCTGTCTGTATGGATGTTGGAACCTCAATTAATCTTGAACTAGCAAACTATTACTTTGTTGACCAACTGTAGAGTGAATACCTGAAAGACCATAATTATCATCATCAATCAGCAAGTCCTTTACAGAACGTCACTCTCTTCACAGCAAGCCTGAAAGTATCCCTTTTTCTAGCCAGTTCTCTGGCCCCATGTGCTTTCAATGCCAATGCATCCTCAATGTCTTGTATCCATTTTCGCGGTGGTCGACCCCACCTCGCCTTCCACAAACTGGTGCAGTCTTTTCCAAGCCACCATGACATTTAATATGGCCAAAATACTTCAACTTTTGGGATAGGATGCTGTTTATGAGCCAGTTCTCCTTGATGTTCAACTTGTTCAGAATTTTGATGTTTTTCCTCTTCCTGATCCATGGTATTTTAAGAATTTTTCTATAACATTTCAATTCAAAAGCTCCAATCTTTCTCCTCAATGACTGAGTGAGAATACCATAATTATAGAGTTTATTAATAATAACATCTACCTTTGTAGACAGCTTTAGGGATAGTGAAAATATACCTAATATTAGTGATTATGGATTAGTGATAAGAAAAGATTATCATCACAGCACTCCAGGCAGATCTATAGGTGCTCTTATCTCCTCTTCAAAAGCTCCACAAGTGGAAAACAACTAATGATGCCTATTCTGTGTTGGTTAATAAAACATCTTGTCCTCTTAGGGAAATGTTCATTTCTTGCAGCTTCAGGCTGTACCCCCTATGTCCATCAGTCTACAGGGATACGCAGTCATGTCCTTTGGCATTCTCCTCGGTATGATAAGTGCAGCACATGGCACTGATAACATCACTTCTGTCTAGTACTGGACCAGCCATAGCAACCCTTGAACACCTGCATGACCTGGCACAAAGATGAAGTTTAGGGCAACTATTATACTTAATTGTTACTACATATAATGGAATGATTATTTTGAACAATTTAGCAAAGCAAAATGAACATTTTAATATTAATAGATGCTGTTTCGACTGTTTAGTCGGTTTGAATGGATGAATGAATCAGGATTTGACATCTTTGCAATTAGGACATTCCCACATATGCTCCATCTCCTTCCGCACTCATCAGCATGTAGCAGGTCCTTTGCAGAACATCGCTCTCATCATGGTCTGCCTGAAAGATACTAGGTCTCTCACCAGCTCTCCCGCCTCATTTATTTTCATATTCAAGAGGTAACTTATATCCTGTGCGTATCTTCCTGTTGGTCAGCCCCTACACCTCCTTCCTGGTACCATGCCTTGTGCTATTATTTTTTCTAATTCGCTTTGGCGAAATATGTCCAAAATATTTCAGCTTCCGAGACAAGAAACTGTTTATTAACCAATCTTCCATGATTTTCAGATCTTTCAAGATGTCAGTATTTCTCCTCTTTTTTGTCCATGATATTCTGAAAATCTTTATATAGCAGTTTAGCTCAAAAGCCCCTATTTTCTTTCTTAAGGACTGGGAGATAGTCCATGACTCACATCCGTATGTTGCCACAGGGAAGATGCATGCTCTTAAAATTTTAATTTGTATTTCCTTGCTGGTGCTTAACTATAGACTTTAAAGGCTGTTTAATCTTTGCAATACTATGACCATCCTCCTTTTACTTTCTGTCAAACAGTCTCCATTGCTATTTATTATATAGCCTAGATATTAAAAGTTTGTGACATTTTCAATTTCTTCAGTTTTGTCTATGGACTTTATTTTCATTTTCTTTGAATTCAAGAATAGGTTTCGATCTTTACCGTACTTTTGGACAGACTTCATTAAATTTTCAACTGAGATGACTGGCACACTTGAAACCCAGTTTTGACAAATCTACCGTTCTGATCACCAGTATAATTAGAAACAAGTACAGTCATTTACAGGAATTTACCATTATGCTAACTCTTCTGAGTTCTCCTAACTTGTCTTTCACAATATTCCTATCTTAAAATGAAAATACTTGTAGTAGTATGATGTAGCAAATGTTAATAATGCAGCAGACTTTATACCAGACAAAATGAACTAGCCATTACCCTAAGTGAACAAACAACATTTATTATAAAGTATTAAGATTCAGCACACAAGTTTGTCTAAATTTCAACCCTTCATACCTCTCTCTTCCTTTTATAAATTTCTTTTTAGGTTAATATTTAATATAATAATAAAATATTCATTATAAGCATCAACAAATCAAGACATTGATTGAAAAGTGAGATGATCTGATCATTTCTTTGCTTTGTGTTGTTTTGAGGCATGCCACTGCACTTTGAAAAATTCATATGAGTGAACCACCTGTACAAATGGGCCATAAGAAGTATGTAATTTGTAATAACACTTGCTTCAAAATTAGTCTAGAAAACATTTACCACCCTCCATTCTTCCATGAGCTGTGTAAATAAAATGTACTTCCGAGCATGACTGTTGAATTTAAATATTCTGCTCTATTATCTGCACATTTCAGTTACTAATATATTTATTACAGGTAGTAGAACACGAGGTCAAGCCGATGGTTTTGATTTAGAAATATTGCCAAAGCTCAAAGATGTCAAAGGGAAAGTAAGTGCAAAATAGAAAAGATAAATATGGGATTGATAATTAATCTGTATTTATTATGTTAATAATGTGTGTCTGTAAGTAAAGTAAAGATCCCTATCTACGCCTTAGGTGCATCGGGCATATGGGAAGAGCACCCACATTTTTACAGACCATCGGCACTGGGTGGGTAATGTGGTCAGCATTACGCCTGCCGTCTTTACTTCCTCAGGACATCCATCCTGGTACCCATTTAAAGATGGGTTGACCTGCAATGCCCCATACCATGATAAAAATCCACACAGCCAGCAGTGGGTTTCGATCCCGGTACGTTGGATTACAAGTTGGACTTGCAGCGCCTAAGCCACAGACGCCGCACCTGTGTGTCTGTACATTAAAATATTTTTTCAATTTTATTTTTCTCTTTATAATGTAAGTTGTGAGCTAAGTAAGATTTAAAATAGGTCACAAGGCATTTTGATTGAAGTATTTATAATCTTTATCATGCTGTTATAATCACATAAGCCTTGCAGGATAGTCCTGCATTCTGTTCTATCCTTGCAATTTTGTCAATATCATGAGTGGAATCCAGTCCTGCAACCTTGGCTTCTCTCAGCAACATTTTTGGTAGGATCTCTCTCAGACATCTTTATTTCTTCAATCGGTTTTCAATTTCAATGCCTGTTTAGTGATTCTATGCTGGCTCCTTCTCTGATGTGCTTAATATAATGCCACCTTCTTTGGCTAATAATAAATGATGTTAGAGGTTGTCCAGACATTTATCTTTTTTCTTCACCTTTCTTTAATTCATCCCATTAACTGTTAATCTATTTCATCAGGCCTTTGTATTCAGATGCATTTAATTTTTGTTTCTTGTCTTTTCAGTTTTTCGGCTTTCACTGGCATATGTTAAAATTGAAATAACATTAGAATTGACAATACATACCTTAGTTTTAAAACTACACACTTTAGTTTTCCATATCTTGTTTCGGCTGTTAAAAACTGCTGATGCCTTGCAAGTGTGTATAATCATAATTTCTTTTCCAGTGTATGTGTTCTTTGAAAATCAAAATTACAACCTAGATAGGTAAAGTGATCATTAACTGTAATTTTTTTTTGTCTCTAGTGTGACATCTGCCTCATCGGTTATAGATGTCTTCAAGAATCATTTTCTCTCAGTTCAGCTGTTATATATTTGTTGCACACTATACTGTCATTCATCCCGTGTACACTTCTTCCTGTTATCATTGACTCTTTCACACTCCCATATTTCTTACATCTATTTTGCCATTCATGTCTTGTGTACTCTTTTCTGCCATCCTTCCATCTTTCACACACATCATTTGCTGGTTGTCTGATCTCTTTGGGACTTTTATTCTCATTCATTTCTTGATCATTTGAAGTTTCTACATTTGCATTAGCATATTAACCACAATCTTGCTTTTGGACACTAATTTTTTTTTCAGTCTTCTTACATGCAATGATATTTTCATTTTCCCACTGAAAAATATCTTCTTCAGACATATCTATGAGATCTTTTCTGTTACCCAAGATTAATCTAGTGCCTGGTGCTGGCAGTGCTTCAACCTATATTCTCTTTTCAAGAAAAGTAGTTTTAACAGTTGACAAATTTTTATATTGTATACCCAAAACTTCTACAATTAATTATTTATTAGTGAGGTTTTCAGGTTGTACCAAGTCGTTATGGGCACCAGAAATGTTTGACCCAGAGTCTCTTAATACTGAAACTGTCTTGCCGTTGACAATACTCCAAATAACTTCATTGTTCCATGAGAGATTATGGCCGCATTTGCTTCATTTACATTTATGTTATGGCCACAAGGCCTGGTATCTTCTTCATGGATTTGGTGGCATGTGAGACAAAATTCACTATTTTTATATGTTACTGCGTTGACATCCACAGGTTCACTATCTGACTGAGAAGCAGAAATTTCATACCACACACAAGCTTCTTTAAATTGTTTTTTGAAAAAAAAAAGTGTTTCTAATATGGTTTTAACAGCCACAGGAAAAGCATTTAACGGCATCATTATATTGTCTTAATTTATGACTTTTTTTTCTAGCAATATACCAGCAATATACTGGTTGCCATTTGTTATTAAAAGTGGTTTTCTTTTTTGTAAGGGGTTGTGGCTGGTTTAGGTTTGCCTTTATAATAGTAAATACTAGTTCCTATTTTAATATCTGGTACAGAACTCAAAATAAAAACCTCTCAATGAACAGAGAAGTAATTCTCACCGAATTCTTCCAACTCTTTCAATGATGATGGTTCGTTCTCTCAAAAAAATGTGGACATTGGCCTTGTTAGTGACTAACATTTTTTTCTTAACAAAAGATCAACCAAACTTTATAATTATCTCTAACTTTAGCAAAATCTATCCGTTTATCAAAATATTTTGAACTTCTTAAGAAAAAAAGTCAGTGAACATCTGATCTGATTTCGATTTTAAGTGCTTCATGCAAATCAAAACATCACATAATGTGATCTTTAACATAATCAAAATCAAGTCTCAAAACAGGGACAGTTTCCAAAATATTCAAAGGTTCAAAAGTTAAATATTTTTGAGAAGTGATAGCCTACTGGTCTTTAGGAACATCATAAAAATTCATTTGTAATAGAACTTGCAAACCCATGAACCAGTATTATCTTTCTCTGAGAAGTTTCTAACAATACCAGCCTATTTTAAAATTGATTTTCTTCTTCTTTCTTTTGTTCTTTCTGAATAGCTGCTTTTCTCTTTGAATCATTTTCAATTTCTGAGCATTTAGAAGACTTGTAGCTGCTCTTTCCAGTACGTCAGTATTTGTGATTTTGTCCTGCCACTTAATGCCAAGTATTCTTCTTAGGCATCACATGTGAAAGCGAATAAGCAGTCATTCCTGGTTTGAAAAAGTTGACCAAGTTTCGCTGCCATAAAGCAGAGTGCTGAGAACACAGGCCTGACAGACAAGTTTTTTTGTTTTAATTTTGAGCTCCAATTCATAGCGAGCTAGCCACATAAATAAATGCCCAAAATCCTATCTCTGTTGAACAATGTACAACACTGTGATAATACTACTGTCCAGCTAAATAGATTTGTACACGTACTATCGTTCGCTTTGCTTAAATCGGAGCCCACTATGACTCCAACGGTCACAATCTAACACGAGTCAAACAGTCACAATGTCTAGGTACAGAACTCCTCGTGCAACTTAAAACTCGCTGGTTTTGTAGTCCGTTGTAGTTCAGTCGCTCAGTCCAAGCACCTCGTGGTTTCGATAGTAGTCAGCTTGAACAGTCCTGACTTTCTGCAAGCCCCAGTTCGTGTCCCTGAGCTTCAGGTCAAGTCTCGGTTACTAAGGACAGACACATGCATTCACTATCATCGTACTCTGTATCCCATACTCGCACTTGACTCACTGATGTCAATGTTTGAGGGGGAATCTCAACACCTATGGACATTTCTGGAGTGCCGTGATGACAACTCATAGCTCTGTTATCTAGCTCAGATAACAGATCTTGCAGCAATATCTTAGTGTGAATCAGTGGACACTGTAGATACTCACAGATTGTGAATACATCCTCATTCATACTCTTATTGTATAAGTTTCCTTCATTCTCTACACACCAATTCATATTCCTACCTCTTCTCGCTGTGTTCCTCACCCCATAATTGGTAACCCCTCTCTCCCATTCTTCACTTTCACTGATCAGGTATCGCTAACCATCTCCTACTTGGGTAAGGCTCATCAGATTTGACTATTACTAAAAATAGCCCACAGAACCTTGCTTCTACCTTCTCAAGATGTTTCAGAAATGTGATATCATCTGGTCTATCCAAACAATGCGATTATGGCTTGTTTGGGTTTGTTGAGTGATACTTCTTTGCAAAATCATTGACATCTGTCTTTGGCTTTTTCTCAAGAGAGGTAAACAAAGATAGCACATGGTGTCATGACTAATTTTGAGTCATACAAGTTTGAATTCCAAAACAAAGGTTATATATACTAAGAAAAGGTTTTTACGTCTAAACAGGACATTTACCAATTTGAACATTTACCAAAGCAAATGTATACAAAGGTACCACTGTATCACTTATCTAATTTATTTCTGCTTTTTAAAAAATTATTATTGTTTGTTTCTATGTGTTTTACACAATATTTGAATATCATTATGTAGTCATTTTAGAGTCATTGCTTGTTTGTGTTGCATTTTGTTTCTTACTGTTGTTCTGCTTATGAAGTCTAATCACTGCAACATCCTTTGTTTATTGTAATTGATTCTGTAAAGCTGACATTTACTTTCTGTTTTTCCTGTTCCTTCTAGTCTGGTATCATTATAAAAATCAACGTAAATTAAAGTGTTTCATAATAGCACACAGTCTTCTTTATTTTGAAGGATAATAGTACCAGCCTGTTGCAGTTTGTAGTATCACGCTATGTTCGCCAGTATGACACAGATGTCTTAGGCACTGACCGTGCTAAGCTTCCTTTACCAGATCCCAGTGATATTCAACAAGCAGGGCTTGTTAATTTTGAAGACACAGAGAAAGAGTTAAAAAGAATACACAAGGATTTTAGCAGTAAGTGCAGCTTTTAAATATTTATATTCTCTCCATTTTCTAAATGTTTTTTTTCTTTCAATTTATATAGCTTCTTCTTTCTCATTTTCTATAGTCCTGTTTTGCCTTTCAGCATCAGTTTTGAAGAGGAATTTGGTGTAAGCCTAGGTGTGTGCTACTTAGATGATAGTATTCATGGCCTGTGATATTCCATCTATCTGTACCTTGCAGGGATGACCTCTAGGACTGTTTCTACTATGTCTAAGTGAAAAGGCCATCTGTGGTACACAATCTTGTGGTAGTCTTGATATAAACCATTTGATCTATTGTTTCTGATGTAGTTTAGAACTGGTTCTGTCCCAACTTGTCTTCTGATATCATCACTTTGATTCTTCTCTTCTTTATATATTTGGGATTCATTGTAGACATTTCATTTCTGTTTCATCCCCCCCCCCCCCATTTTTTGTTGTTGTTAATGTCAATGTGTGTCACCACTAAGACAGTACTGGTAAATATACTGTACTGAATAGTGATCTTTAAGGGGTAATAGTACATATTTGTTATGCATCTGCCCAATGATTAGATTTGCTTTACTACATCTGTGGGTACAAGTAACGGTTTGGTCTAACAAAAAAAAAGAGTGACTCCCTTTCCCATTCATGTCTCATCAGGTTGCATGGCCTCTCCTTTTTGCGGAGGTGTTATGGCTTTATTCGGCATTCGCTCGCCATATGTAATGTTTATGAGAGGTTGTGTTGTCATGAGTTTCTCTGAGGCGCGGGGTACCTGTATACAAATAAAAAGTACTGCAGGGGGAAATGCCGCAGGTGCTACAGGTTGTGAGTATCGAAAATGAGAAGTTTTTGTGTTTGTTTGTTGGTGGTGGCCCCTCCGAAAAAGTAGCCATTGACAAAGAGCGTAGGAATAGAAAAACATTGCAGTTTCCATACTCTGATCTGCGCACATGTAGCAGAATGTAAAAATAATCACGCAAGTGAGCAGTGAAAACACAAGGAAAGAGAGAACGGTTAAAGCATTGACATTAAGTAATACATGACATACCTGTGACATAGGAGAGGCCCTTGCAACCTGACGAGGCATGAAAGGAAGGGAAGTCACTCTCTTTTTGTGAACTAAAACGTTACAATTACCCATCTGTGTTTTATCTCTCCTACCATTTTTCAAATGAATGCTATTATGCTCCTTAGAAATCTTTTTACTCGTTTGATTTTGCCCTGCATAGCGTGATTAGTTGTTTTGTTCTTGCAGTAATCTTAACTATTTTTTAAATATGAATTTTCATGTTTTGTTCCTTTCTCTGTGTCTGCCATGAGGGCTTGGTCATCAACAAGTTTTGCCAGCAGCATATAGCCTATTTTTCAATGATCTCTTGTCAGCAGAGGACTTTTAACAGAAACATCTAGTCTGGTTTCATCAAACACAGCTGTTTGGCTCCATTTCTCTGCAACACCATCATCATCATGTAGCAGGTCCTTTGCAGAACGTCTCTCTCATCACAGTCTGCCTGAAAGAAACTCGGTCTCTAGCCAGTTCTCCTGCCTCATATACTTTCATACTCAAGGAGTCACTTATATCCTGTGCCCATCTTCGTGTCGGTCGGCCCCTGCCCCTCCTTCCTGGTGCCATGCCTTCTGCTATAGTTTTTTCCAATCCGTTGTGGCGCTTGATATGACTAAAATATTTCAGCTTCAGAGAAAGGATGCTGTTTATTAGCCAATCTTCCTTGATGTTCAGATCTTTTAAGATGTCAATATTTCTCCTCTTCTTTGTCCAAGATATTCTGAGAATCTTTCTACAGCATTTCAGCTCAAAAGCCCCTATTCTCTTTCTTAAGGACTGAGAGATAGTCCACGACTCACATCCGTATGTAGCCACAGGGAAGATACACGCTCTCAAAATTCTAATTTTTAACAACAACAACACCTGCCAGGGTTATCATTACCTCAGTGTGAGCATGACATGTTCTAATGGGCAAATTCTGCTAATGGTGTCCTCTGCTTCCGGCATCCATGACTGTCTCCCATAAGGAGCTTATCTTTGATCACTCATATGCAGTTGTGCAGAGGGAATTTTATGTCAGCCTCAACACTCAGGCACGCCCTCACCTGGGCAATCTTGTATTTAGTGACCATCTCTGACAGATTAACGATGCATTACATGGCGTGGCATGAGGTATCTCTTGTGCACTTCAGGATCAGTCTCATGGCTTCATTTTGCACTTCCTCTAGTCTTTCTAGCTGCAGCGCTGTAGGCAATTTTCCACAACCACTAATGTAAAACGTACAGCTGATCAAGCAGCTCTGTATCACCCTTCCTGATTCTTTGATTCTTTGAACCCAGCTACTGTACTTCTGTGAACTGCAAAACTTTCATACACATCATATAGAGGCTTGTGAATGTTCACAAAAGTTTCCTTCCCTGCAACAAGAAATTCGGTCACGTTTGACTGCTAATAATGTTATTTGCTAACATGTTTTATTTCAACAGTTTAGGGCAGCTATATTTTTTGGCCAGTTGCCTTGCAGTTTGGTGCACACATTTGGTAAATGCCACTTTTGAATTATGCAAAATTTTATGCTTCTGTCCTCACTATTAGCTTAGAAAAATTATATTTTAAATGCTTACTGAACACCCCTCATATTTTTGGGAAAAAAAGTCCATTGTTTCAGATGATGGAACCAAATTTAAAACAAGACCTACTTTTATAATTGGTAATTAGATAGTTTCTTATATGTGAAAATACTTGTTAGTATAATATATGAAATGTATAAAATGCCTTAGGTTAAGAAAAAAATGATTGTGCATGGGATTGAAAAATAAATGACAAAGAGAGGGAACTAGAAATTAGCATTTTAAATACTCACTTATTTTTCAGGTGCTGAAAAGAAAGCCACAGACATTATCAAATGCTCTCTTTCTGAAAGCTTAGATCCATTTAAATCTGTAATGACATCATTTTTTAATAAAGGTGAGTAAAATATGTGGAATCAATATTCTGACTCCATCATTAAAGGGAAGTAAATTTTGACATTTTTATTTTTCTTAATAAACACACTGGCATTAAATATAAAGAGTAACAATGTTTATCCAAACCCACATTGCGAAACCACTTCAAATGGTGAAATAACATACATCCAGGCATTTGATTATTTAATCTTTTGTTATGATCACTACTGCTGTGTGGAACAGAAACAGAGGGTGAAAAACCACATACTATATAAACTACAGTCATTGACAACTGGTATCAGCACAGAATTGAAGATATATATATAAAAATGATGATTAAATCCTTACGTCCTTTTCAGGACGTAATCTTTTGTTATTTGAAGCCCCGCTTTTGCCAGGGGCCGCAATATAGGCAGGCCATAAAAATGGCCAAATGTCTGAACGTGGTTTCTGGGACCTCTCACTCTATCTCCCTCTCTCTATTTCTCTCTTTCTGTTTCACCCCTCCTCCAACACACACACACACACACACACAAACAGACTAGCATGCATGCACACATGTACTCATGTATGCATATGCACACACACACACACACACACACACACACACGTGCGCGCGCAGACACTCACTCTCACTCTCTCTCTCTCTCACTCTCACTTTCATTCTTTCTCTTCCTCACACTCTCTCTCTCTCTCAATTAAATAAAAACACAAGTAGATATTTTTTTTTTTAAATCATGAAGGATTGTGCTTTAGACGGCATGATCACCCATCATCTTGCTTACCATGGCAGTCCGGCTAGTTTGTAAACACTAGTGGCGTCCATCAGTAACCAACTGTCAGTCACAATAAGCAAATCACAGCAGGAGAGTCTTAAGGCTCAGAAGTATTGATCTGGGTCACTGCACCACCCCCCCCCCCCCCACCCCAGAGATTGTTCAACGAATCAATGGACAGAAACATTTGTTTAAGGGGGTCTCTGCTTATGATCTGTAGACTCCTGCTGTGTATGCTTCTACCATGAAGTGCTTACTACTGTCCATTACGAAATCTCTGACTCCCAAAATTATCATCATTGTTCGTAAAATTGTTACACTAAATTGCATTGTCATTGACAAAGAAGGTCTTTGCAAAATTTGAGCTGGGTAGCTTTAAAAATTTTCTATAAACATCAATGCTAAGTTTTGACCAGCAACTAGACAAACAAAACAGACTTAAACAAAGCTTAAAAAAATATGACATAACTTTTAAATCAAAGAGATGTAAACTCTAAGCAAGCCTCTGAGTTTCTGCCTGTCTTTGCCAGCTAGCTGATCTCTGTACACTAGGTAGATTTATGTAGTTGGGCCTTTCCCTTATGATAAGTGCTGGTTGGTCCTTGCCCCTGGAAACTGGTTAAGAAACAAATGCCTTTGCAGTCAAGTCCGAAGATTTTAATTTTTTTGAACTTTTATTATTTACTTTACCTGTCTTTAATATTGCACAAAACATTTGATAAAGTGAAACAGGATAAACGGACCAAAGTGTTGGAGAAATTAAAAAATTAATGGGAAAGATCTGAAAATAATAATTAACAAAATAAAGAAACAGCCAATTCAAAAGAAAAAGTTTGCAGTTTTTAACATCTATATCATGTGGTAAGAGTGGTCAGAGAAAGATGTATTCTGGCCATGAAAAAGTCCATGTGCGCTGCCAAACATTTCTGCATAAACATTAAACAGGTTAGGATAAATCAGATTAACACTTTGATGATGAGAATCAAACAGTTACACATTCTTGAAACCCTTTCAGCTGCATAAAACAGTAGTATTAGGGCACATGCCTGTTAGGTAGCCTGTGGTCCAGTCTGGGAATAAGGACTGTAACTTATGTTGTGGCTCAATGATTCCAGCACTACTTGGCTGCAAAGTGAGAGTGGCATCATCTGTGGCAATTTGGCACCATAATTTTAGGCATGGCCACCAAGCGCCAATATTGTTTCACCCTCACTTGTCTGCCGGTTGTAAAATGCTTGTCATTGTGTCTGCCTCTATTATTTTCTGACACTGTGTTTAGCTGGCACATATAGTGAATATATTTAACCTCCTAAATGAACTTAGCATTATCTTCAGGGGACGTATATGCATGTTTTTATACTTAGAAATAAAATGGAATAAAATAAAAAGAAGTTGACCCTGGGATATTGCATTCGAGATGAAGATATGGAAATGTTTCCACTATGTGGAGCATTTATTTTTTATTTCTGCATATTTCAACCAGAAAATGGTATTCAACATAAGTCAGCATTTTAAGGTAATAGCTGAAGACTTTAATTATTTTACTGAATATGAGGATCCTCGTAAAGGCAAGCTGGAAAAAAAAAAGATTCGACCAGTTATTAGTGTAGGACTGCTTTTAACATCCTTGTGTTGAAAGATGTGTGTTTGCACACCGGTGTACTTTGAGGGAAGAAAAAAGGTGAGAAATGAATAAATGACAACTTAGTTTTTGTTTTTGTCTGTTCTATGGATTTTTGCAGGCAGTGAAGTCAATGTCAACCACATCGACGACTTCTATAAAGTGTTTTTCCAGTGTTTGATTCTATCTCCGTTCAACTGGTACTCTGTTGAAGACAGTTCTGTCAGCAGTGACTAGAAAGGTCGCTGACAAACTCACTGAATCACAAATGGGTTTCAGAAGAAACAAAAGTTGTACCGAAGCTATTTTTACACTGCAACTGCATGTCAGTCTTCCAAGTGACTCAGAGGTATCCATGTCACAGCATGGAGAGAGAACTGACCCACCAGCTAAACAGACTCAGAAAACAATAAAATCGTTCTCCAGTGGATCTGGGCTCACTGTGGCATACCAGAAAATGTGTTAGCAGACTATTGCAAAAAATGGAATAGAGGAGAAACAACAAACCCATTCATTGTCATTACCAGAGATCAAAACACTTATCAAAGGAAAATACAAGGAATTGTGGAGAGAAAAAACCAACAGTAAATATCCACAAGACCCCATCAGCAAACTCAACAGAAAGCAACATACAACAATTTTTCGTTTACAAACAGGGTACTGCAGGCTCAACTACCACATGCATAAAGTAAAGATTGTACAGTTGTCATAATGTGCCTGTCAAACAAGACCACAACTAAGCACATTCTGCAAACCTGCCCACTGTACTTACACCTTTAAAAAGACACCTGGCCTCGAGAGCAAAGTGTGCAGAGCAAGCTATAGGGAACCATGAAGGACCTGCTGCTGACATGTGAGTTGATAGTGGCAATCCACCTGATGGTCTGATCGGAGCATGCAAAACCGAACTCGAAGAAGAATAAGAAAATCATCAGACAGATGTCACCAGTTTAGCAGAACAAACATACAACAGTTGACACCAAAAGAGCACTATTCAGTTTTTTTTTTAACAACATTCTGTTACCTGTGCCAAACATGGACATTAGCAACAAAAGAGAAAAGAAAAATTGAAACAACAGAAATGAAATGTCTACAGCAAGCATTAAATGTAACGAGAAGAGACAGGATTAGAAATAGTGATATCAGGAAAGAAGCTGGGATGGAACCAGTAAACTACATCAAGAGACAAATAATGGTTTCGACATGTGTCAAAACTATCACCGGTAGTACCCCCTGTCACTTAGATATAATGAAAGCAGAGCCAGAGGCGGATTACGCAAGCGACAGATTGATGAAATATCCGACATAATTTGGGAAAGCATGGTAATGGTTAAAAAAGCCTTCTAATGTTTTCATTATTGTTAATTTATTCACTGTAATTTTACCATCTCACCAAGTAAATTTATTTCATTTGAAATATTCAATAAATTAGGGTTGTATATAAAAAAAGGGAAGAACATTTTATGCAATAAATCCATGTCCTTGGAAGTTAGGAAAAGAATTCTTGTATGCTATATAGAGCCAGTTTCAACATATGGCTGTGAATCTGGACAATTAATAAACAAGCCAAATTTGTGAGGCCTCAGAGATGTGTTTTACAGAAGATTCCACAGAATTTATTAGCTAAAAGAAGAGCGGCCCAGATGTTTTGAAAAACGACAAGGGTTCACAGACAACTTATCACAGAAATCAGAATGAGAGTCATGATTTTGGTCATATTATGAAAAGAAGGAAACTGGAACATTTGTGGAAAGAGAGACAGAGGAAAACGCGTGAGAAGATACTTGACAACCTCTTGTCATGGCATGAAGGGATGTCGACAAACAAACTGATAAACACAGTTGCAGGACACAAATTGTGGAGAGGCATGATCGCCCATGCCAGTCAGCAAGGCATTTGATGATGATAATTAAACACTAGAGAAGCGATCATTTGTTTAAGAATGCTCACTGAAAAATGTAAAGAAGTTCAGAAATGTTTTTTTTTTTTTTTTTCAAAATGATGAGAAGCTTGTGTCACAGATGTTCTTTAATTTTCTTTATTTCCATAACAGGAAGGCAAGATTTAGAAGAACAAGAAAAAAACCTGGCAGAATGTTCTAAACTGTAAGTTTTTAAACTCAGTAATCTTTCAGTCGTATTCTGTAATTCTTGGTTTTCCTTTAAAAAAACAAACACTGTATATATATATATATATATATATATATATATATATATATATATATATATATATATATATATATATATATATATATATATATATATATATATATATATATATATATATATATATATATATATATATATATATATATATATATATATTAAAAAATGGCGCAACATAACACTTTTACATTGTTGATTTCTAAAGTATTTTTGTATATTTTACCCACCACCATACAATAAAGATTGATATCTCTAAATAAATCATTGTTATCGCTCCTAATATACATAACTTGTTTCACTATGCAGCTTTGTCTCTTTCTGAGAAAGCAAAAAGTATCATCAGGGCATGTATTTTCCTTCTATAAAAATAAAAAGTTACTAGTGCTCACTCTCAAGTTTCTATTAAAGTAGCACCCACATTTTTAACATATCTTCTGATGAATTCTCACCTACACTCAACCACTTCTTACTTTTGGTATAAACTGCAGAATTACGTTCTCTTAGCAGCCCTGATTCTATTAATTTTGTAGAGTTGAACTGATTGGGAGGATATCCTACCATCCAGAAGAGCAGCAGTGCAGATATTGTATATACAAGGAGACATATCTAGTTATATAAACAGTATTAAGGTTATCTGAGAGAATCCCCTTTCACATTAACTCAAGGATATTGTGATTTGCTTAAAGTGTGTTTTGAGGGAATTAGTCTTCTTATGCTTCTTCATGTTCACCAGCTATAAACTCTGACGGAAAGAGCTGGTTGTTTATATATTTCATCCCTGTTTGGATTCTAGGCCTTCATTTTTGCCCCCACTCCCAGTATCTCCTGACACCAGCTTGTCTTTGTTTCTCTCTTCTCCACTTTCTTCCTCTTTTCATTTCTGCTGCATCAAATCTCAGCTCATTAGCACCTTCCCCTTCCAGCAAAGATTCAGTTTGACTTAACATAATTATATTGTCTAGTAGAGCCTGCCTCTAGGGAAGAAGCCAGGAACACCCAGATGACATCGATACGCCTGGTGCTGTCCACACACACCAGACAATCCATGTTAGTGACCACTGACCCTTGGCCATTCACTTCTTAAGCATGTAGAGACACATTGAATATTTGGAGTATATTTATGTTTTAGGTTGTTAGGTAATTACTTGACCATGGTGTTGCTTTCTTCAGTGCTACATAGTGTCCTTCACTAACACATACTGATTAGATAGAACCTCTCACAGTTTTTTTATGGTAACATTGCTCATTATCATGTATTGTGCAGACATGTTGAATTGAGAATCCACATCACAACACTCGGGACACCCCCATAAGCGCTCGATCCCTATCTTCAACAGCAAGCGAAGAGTTACAATTCCGATGATACCAGCAACTGTCTGACTGTATATCTGTCTTGCCTTTCCCCTGAGTTTTGAGCGCCGGCCAGATCCCCTTGTAACTTCTCACAGTGCCATTCTCCTCAGACCATAATGATCTATCTGTGCCTCTGCACTGTTCACTCGCTTCCAAAGGGCCCTCATATGTGCAGACATAAATTGTAACAGAATCTTTAGTGATAATGTTCAGCCATAATTTGGCACAGCTGCTTTATAGGTGTAATGTTGCCATGAAGAATGCCTCCCACATGTCCCCACACATGATCACGCTGTAGCCAATGTCCTGATGATTTTTGTTTTGTTGTCGACCTGTGTTGAGATTTCAACAGGTTACTGTTTTTGTTGAAGATAAAGTAGACTAAGTAAATGGTAAGACTTTCTACAGAAATAGTTGAAACTAACATGCCATTGCTAGTGTGGCATGTGACACTATATAAGAGAGGGTGGTACTCAGGTGTGATTGTTGCTCCTCAGAACTAGTAACTATTTGTTCAGTATTGCCACTATCTTTCCACTGTCTCAACTTCTGTTCATTGTGTATATATGCTGATAATTGATCAGTATTTGCATAAGAGTGACATCTTTGTGTGTCGACATGGAAGAGATCATAGGGTACAATGAAGAGTGAACTTGATTGCATTTCCTCCTGGTGTGTGGATTCTAAATCACTTGTCAACCCTTGAAAAGCCTCAAAAAATGTGGTTCTCCTTGAAGACATATATAGTCAGAGCAGACTTACCATACTTAACCCACCATACTCAAATATTCTTTAGCCATTCTCACTGTCAGCCATAATCAGACTGAAAGACTCGATAAGGTGCAAAGTGAAATATACATATTCTCCTGAGGTCCACAAGACACCTCTTGTGAAGCAGTGAGATACGGTTTTGACTGTCAGACCATGAACTATACGATCAAGATTGGGAGGGCTTGAGCATACTTCAAGAAAAGCTTAAATCTGCACCACGTGCTCTTCAAAAAAAAAAAAAAAGCAACAAACTATAAAGGGGCATGTCGTGGCTGGGTAGGGCAGAAGATCATGTGAAGCAGGTCTACAGTTGTACAGGCATGCACCCTAGTGGGGAATGGATACCAGTGCCTAAAACGCTCAGTCGTACCTTCTTCTGTGTTGTCACGCTTGATAGGAGTTGGGAGCAGAATCCTGTTGCTGTCTGTGCCAAGTCCACTCACTTATCAGTGACCATTCAGATGAGGCATATGTACTGATATATATACAGACTGGTCCATTGTATGAGGACACAAGATTGCATAGGCATTCACATCTCGCTTTGCGGGTAGAAAGTCCACAAAGCTAATTCCTTCTCTATGACTACCGTCAGCATGACGATGGATTGAAATGACACACACTTTTATGCGTGTGTATGTGTATGTGTATGTGTATGTGCTTAGCGATTTTATAAGGAATTCCAGGAAAATTCGACTAAAAAACTTAACCAAATGGGGAAGCAGAAAAATGTGCACAAAACAACACAAATAACGTGACATTTCGGCCGGCAGCCTTTGTCAAACATGAAGTGAACTACACAAAGGTAACAACGAGGAGAGGAGAGTATACAGATCTCTAAGTGTGGCATGAGCAACGTTTTAAGAAATGTGATGTGGCATAAATGAAATAAAATAAAATATATAAAATACTATAAAATGCTGCGATTTTTATAAGCATAATCCAGCAGTTCTCGGCAGGCTCTGTACGCAGACAGTGGATGGAGTCATTGTGAAACGAGTACTTTTTTCTTCATCACAGGGATGTGGGTGTTGTTAGCAATGAAGGAGCTGATAAATTGGCCACTTCTGTCTTAGTTGCAGATGGCCTGCCTGTGGGTCATGATGACATTATTAAAACCCTTAAAGAGAAGATCATGTGAAGCATGACGATTAGAGGATTTTAAGAGCAGCGTGTCTATATCATTGTTAAGAATGCAAAAATTGGGAGTAAAGATCAGAACAGCGAGGTATGAGAGACAGACCAGTTGTACAAGAAGTCTTGTTAACCAGTTAAGAACTGGCACTGTTAACCAGAGGGAGCGTCTGAGCACCTAACGATTTGTCTGGAATGCTGTCAAGATAACCCATCTCATAACTCATAGACAATGCACATGGCCAAGAATGGCTTATGAACTAGATGATTCATGGTTTCCACATTTTTAAAGGATAGATGATGGCCATGCCCAAAAGCTTTTGATACTATGGAATAACTTAGTAGCAGTTTCATTTATTGACCTGCATCCACATTCTAAAGAGAATGCACACCATAGAAAATATGTTTTCAAGTAAAGGCCCAATTTCAGCATGTTATGAAGAAACTAAATATATATCTTACTTTTGATTAGGAGACTACTTTTTAGAGACATAGTTAAGATATGGTTATTTTTATCAGAAACTTTTATATTACAGCTTTGACAGCATGAGCACATTTTTTTGTGTAAAGCCCAAAAACAGAGAACAGCATGTGACCCCTGAACAGTTCTTTGCCCTATGGATATCATTCTGTTCAGATTTTAAAGATCTTTGGAAGAAAGAACAACAAGCAGTCATGAAAATTAGGTTTGTGTTTTTTCTTCTTATCACAGTCATCTTCCTTTCTATCCATATGATTTTATTAGCAATTTTTACACGAGATGTATAGTTCAGTGATGATTCATTTATGTGAATATCTGTCTCTTTCTGGCACTTCTCAACTATCTGGATATGCTGCAGATTTTTTTAATTTTAAGATGTTCATTCTGTCCACTTTTCGTTTCTGATGCTACTTCTGCTTTCTTTTCTTCTGCTTATTATTATTATAATAATTCAGTTATCTCAAGGAATCAGTAGTCTTTGCCTGTTTATCAATTTATGAGTGTATATAAATTAGTGTGTATGAAGATGTGCATGTATGTGTATGAATTTGTATGTGTATATGTATGGGTTGTATGAGTATGTGTGTATGCATGTGTGTATATTTGAATTTATATATTTGTCATCCATACTTTTGTATACTCATCATCATCATCATCATAAACCACTTCCGCCATTAAGCGTCGTGGTGAGGAATAATTTGCGATCCAGTGCATGTTGGCTGCCACTGGCTATAGTCATGCCGTGAAGGCGTAGAGTGTCTTTAATGTTGTCGATCCATTTTTTCCATGGCGGTCCTCTTGCTCTTGTAGCTGATCTTCTGAGATGTAGTGCTTGTGATGGTATTTTATCTTGCGGCATTTTAACTAGATTGCCAAACCACGTGATCTGCTGTTTCTCGATGAATCTAGTAGAAGGTGTCGTTCCCACAAATTTGCCTGATAGTTTCATTATTCACTAGGTTGGCTGCTTTTCTCAGGCACCTCATCTCGCAGATGGTGATTTTGCGTATATAGGCTTTAGATAGTGTCCATGTTTGGCACTGGTAGCTTAATGTTGGAATGAATATGCTATTAATAATCTGTCTCTTTGCACTCATAGTTATGCTTGGATGTCCTAATAATGGTGACAATTGGTATATAAGTGCACTTGCTTTCTGACATCTGGTTTTCTATTTCTCTGTCAATTCTACCATCTTCTGTGATC